GACTGAGAATGGTAACAAGAAAGTGGGACCTGGGCTAGACAGGCCAGAAGTAAACACAGGACAGGAGGAATCATTGTGAATCATCATGAGTCCAGGAACCACAAAGCACAGTGGATTCAGAAAGCAAGTAAAGTTTGAGTAAGGGAGTGAAAGACCCCAGTGGAAAAGAGGGTACACTAGAGAGATGAATTCTCAGATTCTTTTAAGTTGGGAGATTTTGGGTGAATCTGAGAGTGGGTGGGCAAATATCATTGTCATTGTAGTCAAGAATGTCAAAGATGTAAAGGGGGCATCTGCCAGAATGTGGAAGCCTTCAGACTGGGGTCAAAGTTAACAGAGAAGAAACGTTTTCCATTTTTGATGTAAAATTGGGTCAATTAAAATAAAGGGGCCAGGCATGGTGGTACACACTTTTAATCCAGCACTCAGGAGTCTGAGGTAGAAGGATGGTTTGAGGCCAGCCTGAGCTATACAGCCAGACCCTGTCTAAACAACAACAACAAAACTCTGAGAGTTTGAAGGAACCAAGAAAGAAACAAAGATGTGACAACCTTCAAAGCGGCAACCACTACCACCAAAAAAATTGCATGAGAATAATTCGCCTGGTTAATGTAAAGATGGGGACCGTATAAACATTAGGATACTTACAGTTGTCACAAGATACAGGCCTGTGACAATTATACAGACAGCAGCAATTAAGGTCTTTTCTCTGCTGGCCAAAGATCTGTGTAGTGAACCTTCACAAAATATGTGCTACCTTTACTAAATGATTTAACTCTAATTTCCCTGAGATACTCCATGCCCTCCCCCTGCCCCATTCCCCAAAGCACACAATCTAGACAAGGGTCTCCCTCTAACAGGCGATGCACAGGGCATCCTAGTGGTATATCTGCAAACCAGGCAACACATGGGCTGAGTTGGGAGAGAAACGAAACCCCTTCCCTATCCACAGAACCAGATGGCATCCATCACATCGCTGACATCCGTGATTACTACTATTATTCCCCATAATCGTCCTGAGGTCTGCTCATTTGCATCATGCTAAGCACTTGTAATTAACCAATGAAAGATTTGGAGCTGAGCTAGTTTAAAAAAAAGTTGAGGCCTGTGTGACGCAATGTACGTGCAGCAATTTCATCTCGCAGTGCAAAATGTCTTCAGAAATTAGATAGCCAAGGCTTTTTCTACAGATGTCTTTTATTAAAGTCAGATGAAATCTGTTCGTTTGTGTTGTGGCATTCAGCCATCTTAGACAACTTTACAAATATGCTGGGGGCTGGGGGGAAGAGAAGCAAAACAGAGGCAAAGTAATTCTCTCCAATTGTGAGGTGTGCTGTTAGCCATAGGTTCAATGCCAGGAGGAAGCCTTGCGAATGCCGGCCTTCATTGTGGGAACGGAGACGAAAAGAGCTTGGAAAATGGACCTCCTCCCCACCTTCCATTGCCCTGTCAAGATACATAAAAGAGTTCAAACTAATCAAAAAGCCCAAGTGAGCTGGCTGGTTAACTAAGACAGGTCTAACCTTGAGTTCAGAGAATTTTCTAATGCTTCCCAACTGCCTCTCCAAAGAACAAAGTTCCCAGGATAGAGCAAAGCAGGTTTGTTCCTAAAGAGAAAGAAGACCTTAGGGTAGCTGAAATGGCGTGTCCTGGAAGGTCAGCTCAACACTGAAAACATTGCCACTCTTCCTTCCATGTAACCTGGTCCTTTCTCACCTGTCCAGGTTTAGCACCCAGTGGGTCCTCTTCATCCATCAGGATGAACAGATGAACACTTCCTTACCTCACATTCCTATCTGTCCCCTCCTCCAGTCCTTCCCAGCACACACAGGCAATGTTGTGTTGATCATTCCTGCCTCCAACCATGCAGGTGCCCCACCTGCAGTGGTTCATCCTCCCTGCCATCTCTCCACATCCTTCACAGTCCAGTTCATTTCCTTTTGTCCTGAAGTCTTCTCCATTGGCACTGGCAGCATCGATCTTTTCCCTCTCTGCTTCTCCCCATAGAAAATGGTTTGGTCTTGGGGGCCAGTATCCACTACTGGTGCACCTGCAGTCACTGTTAGAAGATCCTGAGGTGAGCTACAGAGCACCTTGACATTTTAGCATTGACAACAGGAATAGAAAGTTACAGCTGGTCATTCTCAAAGGCACCTCAAGCTGGCCCTCTTTCTTTTTTTTTTATTGTTTTATTATTCATATGTGCATACAAGGCTTGGGTCATTTCTCCCCCTTGCCCCCACCCCCTTCTGGCCCTCTTTCTTGAGTTTGATTTGATAGGTTCCAAAAAGATGTATTCAAGAATATTCCCAAGAGTGATAGATTTCCTGGTGCTTCTCATAAATATGTGTATATATGTATGCATATGTGTGTATGTATGCCCTACATAAACCAAATTACTAATTAACTTGCAACTAAAGACATTCCTTCCCAGAAACCACATTCCCCAGGTCTACTTCCAGGCCCTTCCTCCTGATAATGGACAGGTAAGAAGCTAAAGTTGTGTCCAGCACCTAGATAAGATGCAGTGAGCATCCAATCAGAACCTTCCCTTTTTTCTCTCCAGTGGTTACAAACTGCTCTTGTCCAGCCAGCCACCTGCTGGGTGAGCTGTCCTGAGGCAAGTTCTCAGTCTCTCTATGCCTTGGTGTCTCCAGCTGTAGCCTGCAAAAAGCACTGGGACCTGACTTACAGAATTGCATAAAGTGCTTGGAACAGCAAGTATCACATGGTGACACAAACTCATGCTAGCTTTTCTGATTATTTCCATCTTCTCTCCAATACCTTACAAGTATCATTCCCATCGTAATATATATAACAGCCCTGATGGAATAACGAAGCCCAGATTGATTTTTTTAGCATTTGAAGATTATGCTAAATCCGGGATCACAGAAGCCTGTCACCTGGCATGGCTTTTTCTTTATGCACTGTACCTGGCCCTTAGATCCAGTCCAAGCTTAGTGCTGGTTCTCTATGAGCCTTCTTTCCTCCTCTCTTCTCTCTTTCATCAGAACGTGTACGCAGATGTCTGAGTGCATGCGAATACAGCAAGTGAAATCCCATAGTCCGGAGGCCTTTCCGTGAAGTTTTATGTACATCTTCCCTGCACCCCTCTCCCAACGCCATGAGCCTAAGGCAAGTGGGATCAGGTCCCTTCTGCCAGGTGAGGCGTGACTGACAGCACTCGGAGGGCGGGGCTCCATGGGTCCTGCAGGGGGCGGGGCCCTCAAGGGGCGGGGTCTACAGGAGGATTTTTCAAGTCTGGCTCCTGGGCTCTTCCTCCTGTGCCTGGGGACACCCGGTCGCAGGATCGGAGAAGCCTGTCTTTTTCCTGAAAGACTTGCGTGTCAAAGGTTTTACTATCTCCTCTTCCCATCTCCCTCCTCCTCCTTCTTCTTTCTTCCTCTTCTTTTTTTTTTTTTTTCGTTGTTTTTTGGTTTTGGTTGTTTCGCTTTTACTAATAAAGGTAGCCACACCTACTTTTGTTTCTGTTGGACAAAGACGTGATTTTTTTTTCTTTAAACCTCTAACTCTCCTCAAAGGGCACCAAGTTCCCAGATGGGAAAGGTGGTTTAGGCCTGTCTGGGGCGGCTCGGGGTGGGAGCGGGGCCAGCTCTCCTGCAGGTGATCCCTTGGAAGGATTTCTCCCGCCCCCCTGCCCTCCCCCGGCGTCGCAAGCTATCGGATGGCTGGCCACAGCCGTGAGGGAGGCCCAGGCACTGGATCCACACCTCCTCCCCTCTCCGCTCGGTTTCCTTCTTCCCCACTCCTCCCCCAGTCCAAACGCCCGCCAGCCGGGCCCAGCCTTAAGCAGCCAGTCTGAGAACACGTGGAAGAAAAGCATTTCCAGGATCAGGGGTAGAGGGACAGGAGGAAAGGGAGGCAAACATAGGGACAATGGGACTTTTTCTGCACTTCTTTTCTTTAAGGGAAAAATGTCTCTCGGCCAAGCCGACATCCGCAGTTTCCCAGGGTGGCACGTGCCAGAGAGTGAGCAAGTTGTCCTTGCAGGGATGCCGAACGCGGGTCTCCTAGACACGCTTCCTAGGGCGATGGCAGTTGTTTACCGTCCTCGCGGGATGCCAAAGGGCTGAACACGCAGCCAGGTTCCCCACAGCTGCGGCTCAGGTGGCATTAGCCTCTCTTTCCTGATGGAAAAGCTGAAGCAACAGTGACTGGTGCAGGGTCACACACCAAGCTTGGGGCCAAAATAACTCTGACTCCTCCTTCCTGGCTCTAACACCAAACATACCTTATTACGGCGCTATCGTTCAAATCTGAATCATGTAAAATGCTCCTAATTGCAGGCATCTGGTGAGGTGTAAGCGCCCTGTGACTAACTGCCAGCAAGCCCAGGTAGGAATGAAAGACGTTTTACAAATGCCAGAGCATGGCATTAAAATGCAGGGAGGCCGGGGTGGGGGTGGGGTGAAGAAAATGGAAAATGACTTTACTGACAAATATCATATTTCTATTTTTAAGAAATGAATTTGAAATGTCACCTCCAATTTTCATGATATTGGAACAGAGCTACGGATTTGGGATTCAAGCAGATGCCTCTTTGACATGCATTTAGGGGCTAGGTCTCAGATTCTGCTAAGCAGTCCACCTTCACACTCTTCAGATAGGTCACTAAATCCGTCTCATTTTTGTGTATAAACCTCCCCTTTAACTCCCATGCTGGCAACCGTGTGGCTTGAGGAGGGATTGGGAAGTTATCAGGTATATAAATTCAGATCTGTACTTGGGGCTGGACACGTGCGGTGCTCAGGAAAGAAAGTAAATTCCAAAGGGCAAAATTGCTCTAACTGATTCATTTGTCCTCCCAAAGACACCACCTACCTGCTTGCAGGTATTCAGGTGACAGGTGGGCGGAGCCTACTGTTTCAATCGCTAAGGTCTCAGCAATGCTTTACCTGTCCAGACTTCCGTGATGTCACACATTTCCTGCTTTGAATCAACCAATGCCCTCCTCCTTCCTCCAGGCACCTGTACACAGAAGTTGAGGCTGGTCACAGCTCAAGAGGCCCAAGAAGCTGCTAGCTTCAGCCACAAGTGATGACAACTGACTGGTTACTGCTGCTTTGAGACACATACAACACACTTTTTAAGGTGAGCTGAGACTTCATTTTCTCTCTAGGCATGTAGACCTCTGGCCTCCGAGGAATCTGAATGAGAAATGCAGGCTGAATGGCGCAGCAGCAGGTAAAGTTCTTTTGAGAGAGTATGTCTTAGACATCCTGGTTACAGTGAAGTTTTTGCAGGCCAGATACTAAATCTTTTTTGTTTCTCCTCATCATTAATCCAGCCTCTGCTTGTCTGTGCAGCTGATCTGATTGTTTAAAACCCTAGAGAGAAGGGGAGTGGAGACGTTTTTTGAAACTTAGCCCAAAGGGGCAGACCTGTTCCGCACGTTTAATGGGGGCTGGGAGTGCAGACAACATTCAGAGTTGCTGCTTTTGGCCTGATTTTGCCTTGCTTTCAGTGTTCATCTCATCAGAGGCAATTTTGATCCGAATCTGGGAGATTTTTCTGTCATTGTTGTGTTACCGCCCCCCCCCCTCAAAATGTTGTTCCTCCGACAGGTAAACTTAGTGGCCCTATTCAGAAGCCTCCCCTCTCCCCAGTTTCCTCCCTCTTTTCTAAAAAAGACTACCTATGCTTGGTTCCTTTGCTCTTTGTTGAACACTCTTCAGAAACATTTTGCAGTCTGGATTAGAATTGTTTATCTTCTGATCCAGACTGGCTGCCTGCTGACCTCTGGCTAAAGTAAAGAGTATGCCTTCAAGGCCACAAGAATGTAACTTCAGGTCTGATTTTTAATTTGTTGAAACTTTGTCGCTTTTTCTGTCTCTGATTCTGTTAATAGCAAATATACCAAGAAAAGTGTCCTGCCAGGATCCGACTTTTAAAGTAATTTTACCTCCAGGGTGCACTTTTATTCTCTTAATCATGATTAGACAGCCTGTACTACTTCTGTCCTTCCCAGAGCAAAAAGCCACACTCCCCACCCATACCATACTATTGTTAGCAAGAGCAAAGAAACCCTTTCGGAACCCAGGGATGAACTGGGAAACTGGGGAGAGAAATAAATGCCTTCATCAGCTGTTTTTCTAAGATTTAAGTTAGCATATAGGTTTACAGGAGAATAACCTGTTAGGAGTTATGCTCCTGCTTCTCCATCCAGAAATTAAGAGTAAAGGCAAATTCTCCAAGGGTATGAATTGAAACAAGCAGAGAAAATGTTTGCGTTCCACAGACAATTGCTTCTTACCATAAAGAATCTGTCCTGTTCTTGTTGCCAATTTCCCTCTTACTCCTGGGAAGCTCATATGGTACTCCTTTAACTGACCTTTGTGTCTGTTATTTCCCCCTGAGCTTCTGTGTATGGAGGCTGACTGCAGCTTATACCTCAATAATGTTTTCACTTGATTCAGAACATTATCAGGAGAGAGAGAGAGAGAGAGAGAGAGAGATTTCCTGTGACATGAATCTCCTGGATGAAAATATGTCTTTAAGGTTCCCAGCCTCTCTGTAAGATTGCATTCCCCTGTTTACATGGTTGATTAGCTCTTGTCACAATAGTTAGTTTATGATTAAAAAAGTCATTTCATCACTGCATATCAGCACCTCTGGTGGTTAAAGGGACAAATCTGTGGATGTTATAATCTCTGATATAAGAAAAGGAAAAGGTAATAAGAGACTGAAACTCAGTCGGAATCTCTAGAATATAGTTGGTGCATTGGATAGCTTGCACGGAGGGTCATCCAAATGTCCTGGGGTGACTCCATTGCCTGCTTGAAGTGGACATGAGACCTGATGGGAAATCGTACCATATCTTTTGCTGACATCTTTATACAAATTGCTGAATTTCTCTGACCCTCAGTTTCTTCATCAATAGGACAAAGGATAAGAATCCCTAAGATATAATGCAGTCATGAGAAATAAAGGAAGTAACTAACATATTAGAGCAGGGACTCATCAATGCCAGGACCAAATATACGCCAGTCCCCTAGAGGAATCTTGCTGGGAGTTTAGATAACATGGTCAGAGCCTACCATGCAAGATCTCCTATGGTTGTGATAGTTAACAACCCTGCTCTTCTTGTTATTGTAATTAATTATAAGTAATTAACTCCAGAGTTAACAGTTTGGAGAACTACAATAGGGTGAGAGGAGAATGCTTGAACAGTTGTTATTAACCTGACTGAGCCAGGCAGCTGGGGCCCTGCTAGCCTTTTGGTGAAACCTTTGGGAAGCTGGTGATTTCTTCTTTTCTTCCTCAAGACTCTCACAACAGACACACAAAATGTGGGTCTCCTGCAAGCCTTTGGGGGGGATGTCTCATTGTCATTTGCTGTAATCTGACTTAGCCAGGAGCTCTTTCTGCTTTCAACGGTGCTATCTTCAGGGCCAACTGGGCACTTGGCCATCTCCAATCTTGTACATAAACACCGTTCACCAGAGTCTTGGGAAGCAGATGGCCAGGTCACTGCAGGAGAGGGCACCATTCTGTAGAAGGAAGACTCACAAGTCCTCTGGATTTGATTGCCTCCTTTGGAGAATATCCTGTGCCCTTCAATGACCTTGAGTCATTGCATCAGAGCAGGTGTGTTTGCAAGCCGCTGGGAGCTTCTCCTGATCTCACCCTATCCTAAAGGGATAAATTTCCATCATTCAAGAGCAAGAACTATGGATTGAAGACAGTGGATTCTGACCTCAAACCTACTGCTAGCTTGCTGAGGGTACTCAGGAAAAACTCACTTTCCATGCCCTTTAGTTTTCTTCTCTATATCCTTTCTTCCAAGAAAGAATGCTAAAATAGTGAACTTCCTAACCCCCCTCAATCCCTACAGAAGCTAGAGGGGCTGCCCACCTAGATGAGGGGATCAGACTGACAGAGAAGAGCAGTGGGCAGTGCCTCACTGGGAAATAATTGATCTTATCCATTTAATTCTAGTCAATACAGGGCTCCTGTTCTAGAATAGAGAGATGGTTTCTGGTATCAAAACTCAATTCCATCATGGGCTCCCTTTGTGCCCTGGGACAGGGTCTTTCACCTGCTTTACCTCAGCTATAAAATAGGGTTGTCTCAAGAAGTGTTGAAACAGTCACAGTGCTTGGAGTGGTCCCTGGCATGATGTTAGCTATTACTGCTGTTATTTTCTTGAAAGGAAGGCATGGTGGGTGGAATCAGAGAGATCTGGGTTCGAGACCCAGTTTTGCCGTGTAATTACTGGCCTACATAAGGCTCTTCATATCTCTTTGCCTCAGTTTGAGCATCTCAAAAATGGAATACTTACTCAACTCAATGCTGTTGTGATGAACAATTGAAATGGCTCCATGTGAAATGCCTGGCATATACTAAGTGCTTGATAAGTGTTAACTATTGATAGGTGTTAAATACAACAAAAAGTTTGTTATATTGATTATATAGATCATGCTACGGTGTGGATATAAGACGAAAATGGTAGTAAGTTGATGACCAAAGCACTGAACAAAACACATTTCCAGAAAGGCCCCTGAAGGCTTAGAAAGAAAACCTGTTAGCAAAGATTATCTTGTTTATCTTGGCACTCAAAGGTAGTATGGCAGCCAGGGGTGATTCCTGGTCTTTTGCACCAGTGGGCAGAAGACTCTGTGATGTGAGAAACGGCGGGTCTTTCTGGAGCCCAGATGCCCAGCCGCACCTCTCAGTCCCCTCTTCTCCCTGACCTTGGCCATGGTAGCCTTTTATTTTTTTACTTCCTCACTTAAGGTAGAGAAAATAAGGTCTGCTGGGATTTTGCCACTTAAAGTCCACCTGTAAGAGGCTGCCAAAAGGTGACAGGCCAAGGAAGCACTCTAATAGGCCCTGCTCAGCACCGTGGTATCCCTGGTATATGGAACTATTCTTGATATTTATGGCTATAATTGCATAGACTCACTTTTATGTAGGTGGCAAATTTATTGTCCTCTGACAGCGCCTCTAAACAATCAAGGGAGGAAAGACTGTGTCACTCTTTCTGGGTTAACGAGATTTAACCATCTACTGTCCCCATAGAGTGAGGGTTGACATGAAAACTGTAAAGGCTGATACTGAAACTGAGCTGGAATCAGGAATAGAAATGCTGGTTGTCTCCTGTGGCTTTCCACATTTGTCATTCCCTCCTTGTTTCATAGAGACATGCTTCAGATCGATGTGAAGAAGAACGTTCTATGAATAGGAGTTGTCCAAAAATGTAGCAGGCTGCCTGTTGAGGTACCAACCTGCTCATCACTGAAGGTGGTCATTTTGGTGTTCAGTAGTTGGTATGTATTTGCCAGATGAATTAATGAATAAATGGCAAAGAGCATTTGTGATTCAGCAGCTGTGAAATGAAGGTTAAATGACAGTCTTATAGGATTATTTTAGAGATAGAGAGGATGCACGTCAACATAGTATCTTTTGTATAACAAATCTCCCATTTAAAGTAACAGTAATAATAATTTTTTTGGCAGTTCTTGAGTTTGAACTCAGGGCTTTGATCTTGCCAGGCAGGTGTTCTACAACTTAAACCACACCCGCAGTTCTTTTTCAACTTAGTGTATTTTTCAGATAGGGCCTCACCAGGGCCAGCCTCTGACAGTGATCCTCCTGATCTCTACCTCCTGAGTAGCTGATATTGCAGATGTGAGCCACTGCCCCCAACCAGTAATAATTAATTTTCTGTTTTGTATTATAGTCTAAAAAGAAAAAGAAAATGAATTCCTGCTCCAAACAGAGGGTACATGAGATGTCCTCCATACTGGAATTCTGCCCTATTTATAACAGTTCCTTTGTTCCTATTCCCTGCCCTTCTTCTACCTTTCTAAAAGAACTCCACCTCTGCCCAGGGAGCCACAATCCTTGACACTGTGGACTGACCAGTAAAGCTCTAACAGTGGCAACAGGTTTTATTCCAATTAACCAGGAAGTTTTTCTTTTTTTAACAGAAGGATTATGACTTAGAATTTATAGGCTTAAATTCCATCATTATTTTTGAGTGACTCGTGTTTGCTCTTGCCTTTGATGCATTTGTCACCAAGACACAAAAGACACAACCAACAACAGAATGGAAACTCCCCAAGAATTTCCTTTATTAATAGCCTCTT